TGCGAGGAATTCGTGATGGACTACTTTCGGATTTTGCAAATAAGCATATCAGGGTCTGAAATTTCGCTACCATTATTTGTTTGATCTGACGACCCAAACAAACAAAAATCACTTTTCCTGCGTTATCGCGAAGCACTATTCACGTACATCGGCGTTACTTCATTAAAACGACTTGAATCACATTTTATCAGCGTATTTTTAATTTTCTATGTCACCAGCAGTTTAGTTAATGTCAGTTGCCTACCGAAAATCGAAATTATATGGTATAATATGCATTGTTGTACTTTCTAGCGTTAGAATTAACGCTCTACACATTGCGCTAATCGGCGTTGTATCACAATACCTAATTATGGAACGCCATAGCTGCCTCATGTTGTTACATTTCTTTTTATCTTGCCCAGAAAGCGTCTTATTATGTCAAATATAAGCGTTGTAATGCCTTTGTAATTTGTCGACCTGTCAAAACATTGCCTTATTATGCGTAACAGTAGTCTTATATTTTTAAAATGTGATGTTGACTTATGTTAACATTGTTTAATTATTTCAAACAGAAGTGTAATGATGTCAAAATGTCGTTTTGGCTTGTCTGAAATGTGTCATATTATGTCAACTAGTCGCGCTATTTGGTCAAATTGTGGGGATATTTTCTCAAAAGACTGTCTGATCATTTGAAACAGTAGTGTTCTCTTGTCGAAATTTGGTGTTGACTTGTAAAAGCACAGCTTTATTTTATCAAACTGCCAGGTTATTTTGTCAAAATACGGTGTTAAAATGTCTTAACATTGTCTTATTGTGTCAAACAACTTTGTTAATTTGCCAGCGTATATAAATATTCGAATTATCTTGCCGAAATGAGGCGTTGACCGGATTAAATCATGCCTTTTTATGATAAACTGTATGCTATTTTGTCAAAAAGCAGTTTTGACAGGTTAAAACTCAATCTTATTAAGTCAAAAAATTGCGGTATCTTTTCGAAATGTGGTAATGACTTGCCTTAACACTTTCTTATAATGTAAAAAAGAAGTCGAAATTTGATGTTTTCTTATAAAACACAGAAACAGTCTTATTATGTCTAATAATTGTGTAAATTTTTTCAAATTCAGTTCTGTCTTGAAAAAGCGCTGTCTAATTTTTGCTAAACTGTCCCGTTATCGTTTTTGCTCTATCTTTTCACGCTCTGCGCGGGCTCTGGTCACGTGATACTAAATTTTGACAAGATCGCATCTGGACAGGATAACACGATTATCTGACATAATGAGACGGTATTTAAACATGTTAACGTCATAAACTGGTAAGTCAACGCCACTGTATTACATAATGATACTGTGTTTCAACAAGAAAACACCACATTTGAAAAGGAAAAATGATACTTCGCCATAAAAGGACGATGTTTAGTAAAATTAACACTGAACCTTGAGAAAATAAAATGACACTTTGACAAAGATGATAGTAATTTTAGACAAGTCATCACCACGTTTCGAAAAGATAATATGACTATTTGACATAATAAGACGAATATAGACACGTTGAATCTGTATTTAGACATAATAGCATGACAGTTTTACAAATTAAAATAGAGTTTTAACAGTTCATAACCATAATTTGTAAAGATACCACCATTATTTCACATAATAAGACGGTGTTTAGGCCGGTTAACATAAAGTTTGGAAAAAATAGCATGGCGATCTGAGAAAATAAGGCAATGTTTAGACATGTCAATACCATCTTTCGACAAGTCAACAATACTGTTTGACATAATGAAATAACGTTTACACAAATAAACAAAATTTATTGGCGAGTCAACATTAGTATTTCACATAATACGTATATTTATAGACAGGATAACAACAGTTTTAGACAAGAAAGCATGATATTTTGGCACAATAAGACAGAATAACACCACCTCATACAAAGCAACATAACGGTTTGACAAAACAGGACAACACTCAGCCAGGCCATTATATCGGTTGAACAAGATATCACTACTAGCCGACATAATAAGACAAGAGTTTGTCAAGTTGGCACCAAGTTCGGACAAGATAACACTATTGTTTCACATAATAAGACAATTTCTAGACAAATTACCACAACAGTTTGACAAGACAGCATGCTATTTTGACATAAAAGACATTCTTTAAGCAAGATAACACCGAATTTGAGCACAATGGCATGGCAGTCTGACAAAATGTGACGGTGTTTAGACAAGTCAATACCACATTTGGACAAGACAAAACGACATTATAACATAATACAACAGTGTCATAACAAACCAGGATCACATTTGGACAAGATGACACCAACTTCCGACAAGATAACACTACTGTTTCACATGATAAGACAATTTCAAGACAATTCAACACCACATTCAAACAAGTCTGTGTTCAGACATATTGAAATCTTAATTCGAAAAGATGACGTGCATTTTAGACATATTTAGACTTCTATTCGGCATGTTAACACCGGATTTTCACATGATAACATGACGTTTTAAATAATAAGACAGTGTTTAGACAAGTCAGCACTACGTGTTGACAAGACAGAATGAATATTTGACCTAATAAGACTTCATTAAGACAGGTTCTCATAAAACGTTGGCAAGCCAACACTTCTATTATACATAATTAGACGCTTTTAGGGAAAACTAAATTGAAATGTAACAACATGAGGCAGCTATGGCGTTCCATACCTAATTTTATCTTCCTTTAAAGCTGCATACAAACAAAGTCACTCCCAAGGCGGAACCAATTTTAACCCCAGCGACTTAGTAACTTCAATAAATAAGAAGGTTTTGCTATAGGCCAAATATCTAAGCTCTGGACATTGTTTTTTGGAAGATGATTTTTAAGTGACCCTTACTATAAACAACTGTCATCGATTTATTTCCCGAATATATACCCGTAAATTTCCGAATAAAAACGACAAATCAGATGACAGTTGTTTATATTCGACAAGATGGTGGTGTTTTTTTTATATACAATTTCATCAGGGAAATATTCTTTCCAAAAATGCTTGGAATCGCCGTTCAGCCATGAATAAAGAAATAATATTTCATTTCTTGCCCAATACATTTAATATGTGGTCAACACATAAAGCCAACAGAAGTTCTTGCTTTACTCTACCATTCCGTTCTAGTCAAAATATTTTGACGTGCTAAGCTAGATTTTGATAAATTGTTTGTCCTGTGTTAAACACGACTAAACGCGTAGTACAATTAGTTGAACTACATATGCTACTTAATCACTGCATCAATCGGTAAAAATAATTAGCTACTTGCTTAATTAACAAAAGTTACTTGCTGCACATTAAAATTGATGTCTGCGAATGACTTAATAAATGGAATTTACGTTCTACATGTATACTCCGTCGACTGCTTTGCGAAGGTATTTTTTAAACGGACTATAACTGACCTGCTACTAGTATATCCTATAGGTATGACGCAATAAAAACTCTCATGATATTAAACTCGCCCGGATGAAAACGTTATAAAGTTTTTTTTATTTAAAAACGAACAAAATATACACTTATTTAGACTACATTCTCTAATCAGAAATGATATGTAGCAAAAAATATTGAAATTTGCTGTGTTTATCCTGCAGGAGACAAAAGACTGTTACTGAGTTCTTACATTGATAATGGTATCTTTCAGTTGTACGAATAAGTAACCCGACATGGCGGATGGGTGAGTCCATTTACCATCCCTCAATGAAGTTTTTGACGTCCATTTTGTTATCATGTGGTACTGAATTATTCCCTTTTATTGGCTAAAAGCAGGCGGTGTACAGGTAGAACTGTTCAAATCTTGTCAATTGTATATATCGCTGTCCAGGAACGGCGATAATAAGAAAAGTTTTACCTTGGTTCAATAGATAAATTGTTCGACTACATATTGCATAATTTGATTTTATCGTTTCAAAAACTGCGAGGCGAAAACCCCGATTGGGCATAGACACCTTTATGGGAGTTGTTACCCTTCTATATTACTAGTAGTATATAGTGTAATGGGAATATAAATGTTTTCTACCATCAAACACATATATTGTGAACATTCAATGAGCCCTACCCCTTTGAAATTAACAAAAGACAATCAAATTATGAATTTATTTCAAAAGTAAACATATATATATCGATTTACAATAAATAAAATTAAAAAAAAACTTTGACATAGTTATATGTTCGTCGATTATTCCAGGCATATTAAAGTAGTACATGTATAGTATTCGACGCAATCAATTTCGGATACGCATACGTCAAAGAGAAAAAATGGAACATAATTATGTTGTAAAAACATCAAATTCCTTATTCGTTTCCAACCCTACATACACAATATCTCAGCTCTGAACATTGTAGTTTCTGAGGGAAAACTTTAAAACAAATTCGACTTTAAGTCTATTTTTAGGTAATGTGTACATGTATGCATCAGACTGGAACCATTTAAATAACTGCTATAGAAGGATAAAGTTTGGTCAAAATCAACAACCATGAAGTTAAGATGGTCTTTAAAGAAATTCTGGACAACGAAGAACGATCGAGGGCGGACAGCTTGCCATCATAAAAAGTCACTTCTAAAAATGCATCTTTCTACTGGCGTACTCATTAGTTCTCCAAGTGAAGCTACTGACAAATGCATGTTTCTACTGGCGTACTCATTAGTTCTCCAAGTGAAGCTACTGACAAATGCATGTTTCTATTGACGTACTCATTAGTTCTCCAAGTGAAGCTACTGACAAATGCATCTTTCTACTGACGTACTCATTAGTTCTCCAAGTGAAGCTACTGACAAATGCATGTTTCTACTGACGTACTCATTAGTTCTCCAAGTGAAGCTACTGACAAATGCATCTTTCTATTGACGTACTCATTAGTTCTCCAAGTGAAGCTACTGACAAATGCATCTTCCTACTGACGTACTCATTAGTTCTTCCTACTGACGTACTCATTAGTTCTCCAAGTGAAGCTACTGACAAATGCATCTTCCTACTGACGTACTCATTAGTTCTTCCTACTGACGTACTCATTAGTTCTCCAAGTAAAGCTACTGACAAATGATAGTTATTTGTGATACTGTTTTATCATTATTGGATGAAAAATGTTTTGTGTAATTTTGAATTTCTATAGCAGGTATTTGTGATACTGTTTTATCATTATTGGATGAAAAATGTTTTGTGTAATTTTGAAAAGAAAGTGTGTTTACCAGGAGTCACATTTCTTAAAATTAAGTACGTCTTAAACAGCCCATGAATGAAATTGCCGAGAAATGTTTTCAATTTCTTAAGTACACTTGTTAACTAATCTTTTGTAGATTCTGCACAACTTTCTCTTACTCGTTTGATAAAAGTGTTTATTCCTTTGTCTGTGTGCTCCAAATAGATTTAAATATCCACAGCCGAGGCGCACGTCACGTGATGTCATCATCTAGTGAAATTATTTTGTCTCCATGATTGTCATCTTCAAATTCGATTAAATGCGGTTCCTGAAATTGAACTTCAAGTATTACTCATGCAATTTAGGAATGTTATTGAGTTATTATCATGAAAAGTATGAGATTAATCACTTTTGAACTTAATTAAAAAATGTTAATTTCATTTTGATAATTAAAGTTTCTTCAAGCTGCTATTGAACGAATCGAAAATCATGAGAATACTGTAGTCGATTTAAAGTTAACTGATCTATAATGTACCGGTATGTATACAATAAGTAATTACGTTGATATTATTTATTACCAGACATTAAAACAAACAACGTAACAAATATATAATTAAATGGATGTTGTTTGCAAATGCGAGATACATCGTCAGATATTACATATATCTACATGTATACATTACAGCAGGTAGAACAAAATATTATTTTTCATCATATCACTAAGAACATTATTATCATATTTTTCAAGTAATATCCAAAATCAAAATGATACATTTCTATTGTTTTGTCAACATTTAGTTTATTTTATACATTTGAAATACTTATAGAAAACGTGCCTAATGTAGACCAATCCTCTTAATGAAGACATTGCATAATGTAAACTGAGTAAATGTATTTCTGAAAAATTATTCCGACAAATAAATCAGAAAATTAAAAAGCAACTGTTTACCCCGCCATTACTCGTTGTGCAGGTGATCACAGGGGGAGTATCAATAATAACTCGTTTTGCCATAGGATGTGTGTATCGCACACTGGGATAGTCATGATTGTGGTTACTTAATCTGCTGTTCACGGCTAACACATCCTAGATAGTGATCATTTATGGTATTAGTGAAAACATAATAAAAACAATAACGTATAAAAACAGTAAGATTAGATATTCTTGTATAAAATCTGCGCAAGCAGGTAAATTGCACATTAAAGGAGAAGAACACACGTTTACGGACAAAATCACGCAAGCACGAGCCGTGAGGACACCATGTATAAAAAGTTGACTGCAAAGACGGGCACAGTAGTTCCAGCATCATAACATAACTGTTAAATGAAATTTCACAAGCAGTGAAAAACATGACGGAACCGTTTTCTTTAAACGAAAAAGAAATATCATAACGCGCAATTACCATATAAGACGGGCGCTAAGGCACCTTTTTTCGTGCATTTACATTTGCAGAATGCTTCAGACTTATTGATCCACTGACACTGTGCGCTCGGGCTTTACTTGCGTCTTCGTACTTCTGAAGATGTCAATGCACAAAAGGTGCATTCATTATTCCTATATTAATGTAGTGCTATGAAACCACTTTACAAGAAAAATACGGTTACATCGACCTTTTCCTTAACTTGAGAAAAACAACTTTTAATCAAATTTGGATAAGTCAAAGACACTACTTTGTACTTTTATATCATCAGACATAATTTACCTTTGGGTAATTAGCTTTGATTTTTGCATGGAATGCAATTTGTGATAATGAGATGATCATAGCCAAAACAAGTCCTCCAATAAGAATATGGAATATTCCTGACACATTACTTAGATTGAGAGCATTCTTTCCTTTGTCCTGTTAAATATAAAGGTAAACATTAGGTAGATACATTATAAATTATGAAATGCCTAAACATTCTTATTCATTGAACTTTTAAGAAAATATAAGACATTGCATCAAGTAGTAAAGGGTGGTAAACAAACAATTTATTTAAATTGTATCTATAAAGTGCATGTTTTACCGAACCATCAGCATTTCCACATTCTCCTTTACTGTACCACCATTTTTCTTCTAATTTGTGAAGAAACCCCTTTTCTCTCAGCTCCAACACTGCTATATTGAGTTTACTTCTGCAGGAAAAATATGGTACTATTAAATAGCTATAAATGAAACTTTTTTGTTGCATTCATATTCCTTTTCAAAATTGAATCTAATAGCATTTTATTGTGAAAAAGAGAAAACGGGTTTACCTAAAAATTCTTGACAGTTGTATGTCTAGTACACAAAATTATTAACAATTTAACAATGGAACAGAAATATCATGAATTTTGACGTTTAATATACAAAAATGACTTACGTTAAATCTGAATATTTAGGCATGGCTAATCCGTATCCTTTCTGGTCTAAATTGCGCCCAACTTTCATAGTCTTGCAAGGTTTTCTTTGGTTGTAGAAATTGTTGCTTGACGACTCTAGAAGGAAGGCATATGTGTGTCTTTCATTTATGACACGTTTCCAGCCTTCCTCCGGTGAGTCAACATATACAGAAGGAATAGCATCTTCCATGACAGTAAACATCTGTCTGTATATAGGTACTCTTGAACTCTTTAATTGGAAATATTTCATTGTATAATATTAGTCAATTAAGATATGGAGTAGTTGTTAACATGACAATAATGTCTGCATAATATTGAAAAATACTTTAAAATAGATATAGAAATAATACGTGTATTGCAAGACTTAATTATATTTCAAATAGTAAGTAATAGAAAGAGCATCGAAACACGAGGCTATCTATGAGGGGGCGTAGCCCCCGATTATTAATCAGATTGCCGAGTGTTTTGATGTTCTTTCTCTTTTGTATCATAGTCAGATATAAAAACACGCTGCCTGTTGTCAAAATATGACACCCCAGAAAAAGTAACCAATGAACGAGCATCTTCAGATGCCGTCTGCCGTCACAAATAGTAAACCCTAGCAAATATGAGCTAATCAACGGGCATGCTCTGGAGTGCGGGTAACTGATACTTGCACTACAGTTAACGCACTATGCACGTATATGTATACGATATAACTCTGACACATTTTCAACAGAAAGGTCCCCAAACTATGATACAATAGGTTGATAGTTTTATATTTGGAGGAGTCAACTCATAACAAATATACCTACCTCAAAAAATTGATAAGTGGCGCCAGATTTCTGTATACCATACTTAAGATTAGATTGTTTTACTAAGTCATCTACAGAGTTGATAGGCGTTGTTAATTTTTCAAATGTGAGAAAAGCTGCAAGATTGGCTGTATATGATGATATGGTTATTAATGTGAAAAACCACCAGGCACTTGCGAGAACTCGGCCTGAAAGCGACCTGAAGTGAAGATAATATCAATAAGATTCATTACAATAATTAAATAACATCAGATAGAGTTCAATGTGAAACTATTCGAACTAAATATTATTTTGGATTATTTCATTATTTTAAAAACCACGGCGTTCTTCTTCCCGATCTAAAAAAGAAAAGAAGTGATATGAAATAAAGCATTTAAAAGTTGTTACAATAGTGCAAAAAACTAATTGGTTTAAAGTGACATTATGCTCATATTTTTAAAGTCACGTTCAGCTGAATTGTCTTTAAATTTCAAAAGTTTGACTGTTAAAATGGTGTTTGACCAACAGTTGATATAGGAAAATGTTTAAGCTGCCTTAAGAATAAAAAGACTGCCACACTCTTTTTAGCTCGACTATACGAAGTATATGGAGAGCTGTCCTACTCGCCCCGGCGTCGGCGTCCGTGTCAAGATTTAAGATTATAGTTTTGGTGCAGTAAAATATTTTTCACTATAACTTTGTTATTTCTTAAGGTATCAACTTCAAATATATGTTCCTTATCATCAACCACATTTTATGTGACAAGGTTCATAACTCTAGAACCAATATTTTCAGATTAATCTCCCCTTAAACTTAGAATTTTCCTTAAAAAATACTATTTTTTACTGTTACTTATTTATTTCTTAAGGGATCAACCTCATACTTCAAATATATGTACCTTATCATCATCCCTACCTTAAGTGACAATGTTCATAACTCTAGCACCAATATTTTCAGATTTATCTCCCCTTGAACTTAGAATTTTCCTAAAAAAATACTATTTTTACTGTTACTTCTTTATTTCTTAAGGGATCAACCTAAGGCTTCAAATATATGTACCTTATCACCATCCCCATCTTATGTGATAAAGTTCATAACTCAAGCACCAATATTTTCAGATTTATCTCCCCTTGAAGTTAGAATTTTCCTTAAAAAATATTATTTTTTACTGTTATTTATTTCTAAAGGGATCAACTTCATACTTCAAATATATGTACCTTATTATCATCCACATCTTATGTGACAAGGTTCATAACTCTATAGCACCAATATTGCAAGAATTATCTCCCCATAAACATAAGATTTTTTTACTGGAAAAATGTTATTTTTTACTATAACTTTTCTATAACTTTTTTAGTTTTAAAGGAATCTTTCTCAAACTTCAAATACTTATTCCTTATCATCAATTACATTTTATGTAACAATGTTCATAACTCTTGAAGCAATATTTACAGATTTATCTCTCTTTGAACTTAGGATTTTCTTTAAGAAATATTATAACTTCTTTACTTTTTAAGGTATCTACTTCAAACTTCAAATATATATTTCTTATCATTACACACATGTGTGACAAGGTTCATAACTCTAGCGTGACTATTTCTAGAATTATTCCCCTTGATCTTGGAATTTATGTTAACTAATGTTATTTTTTTACTATAACTTAATACATAATTATACATAATTGATTTTTCTTTCATAGTTTTGTCCTCCTTACTGCGTCCAATATTTTATTAGTCGAGCTTCGCTGTCTCCTGTGACAGCTCTTGTTTATAATCTAAACGTTACAGGACTTTAATGGATATTTACAGAAATTTTGCTTGGATCCTTGCATTATTTATTGTTTATGCAAAGTAAATTAGATCTATTAGATTTAAAGAATTTGTGGCAAAATAAAAACTTATTCTGACTTTCATCTGTTTACTCACTATCTATCATTGGATGGGTATAATGTCATTTTAACCTCAGCGCTAAAAGTAGCTTCTATTGGGGAAGAGAACTTATTTTGTATAATTTCGGTTTAAATATAAAAAGACATCTGCAATATACCGCTTTTAAAGTAATAGAATACATACTAATTACATAACCATATATTTGATACTTAAATTACTTTGGCAAGTATCATCTAAATTAAAAACGACTGAAAAATCGATGTAACCATTTTACATAATTGATGTCATTAATTTTACATAATTCATTAAGATAATCCATGCAAACATCAAATTACATCATAATGCAATCGGTGGTTATACTCAAGTTATACTCAAGTGTCGGCATGTACCTGAAGGTACAAAGAGACTCCCAGCCCTCACATGACATTTAAAGTATCTTAAATGCCAACAAAACAAAGCATTTAAAAATGAATAAGAAAGCCTTGATAAAAACAAAAACATTTTCATGTATGTTGAAGGATACACTAGATAGCATCAATGTCTGAACGTTACAAATGCATTAACAACAACACGATATTTGAACACAAGTAACCAATTAAAATTCTCTATCAGTAAAAGAAAATCTGGAATTCCTAAAATAGTAAAACGAGAAACTATGTGATAATTGAGGAATGCCATGCATCCAGAAGCTGATATCGACCCAAAGATAAAAAGAAGAACTTTATGCTAGCTACATAATAACTTAGTTTGTCGCACCTTGGGAAGATATCAGGGCCCTGCTGCATAAGAGCACCCAACGAGAACCATAAAGTATTTATAAAAGAGAAAGTATCAGAAGGGGCGGTATCTGCATCCGTGTCTTCATCCTGCCACTCATACGGACTAAATCGCCCAACCATATAAAGTATAAAACTGACTGCAAAAAATCCACCAATGATAAGACCCCAAACTTGTAATGACAATGGGTCCATAAATGAGAAGACTCCTGGTTTTTCTCTTTCTGGTTTCTTTATCATGATAGAGATCCCTGTATTCATGTAAGGTTTAGTGAAATAAACAGCTTCCTCTCGCTGATGTGTTATAGTTAGACTTGCTAATGCGATGTCAGCTTCCTGAAACATAAAACACACGAACATTATTTAATTATGTCCAAAATTGAATTCTGTTTGTTGCATTAAAATCTTTTTACATAAACAATCATAGTATAAAATACGTGTTTTGTAAACGTTATCTTATTATTTATCATTATCCATGTAGTCATTTCTCATGGATTTTAGTACTAAACGAAATAAAGCACACACCCCTGTCATCAATTCGCCAATTAGTCCGTTCCAAGAACCGTTTTCTTTTGATCCATATTCAGAATCATTGACGAGTTTTAAGGTGTAAGTTATGTTTGCAAGTTCACCAACTTTCTTCATCATATCTATACAGTAACCCTCAAAACGTTCATTGCCAATCCAAGGTTTACCGTTGTCCGTTTTCTTTAACTGTACAAATGGTTCGTTCTGTAACGTAGAATTAAAAAAGCTGTAGTTACATAAAGGAATTTATCACACACCCGTGCCGATTTTGCGACTCCGTAAATATGGTATTGCACGGCCGTGCATATATTTTGACGTGACGTCATTAGCGTTATACAAACATAGTGTAAAGACGCGCTAAATGTTAGCGTTATATTATAGGCGCGTCAATGAAAAATGACTCTTATTTCACTTAAAACGGTCTTTATTTTGGGTATGTGATAAATAGAATATTAAATTCGTGTAAGTTTATTACTGAATTTATTGCACTCGTTGAATAAAATAATATTATGCTCGCCAAAGGCTCGCATAATATAATTTTATTCAACTCGTGCAATTAATTCAGTATTGAACTTACACTCATTCAATATCCTCTATATAATTGTTTTAAGTGAAACAAGTAAAACGTTGCAATTTTTTCACGAGCGTGAAGCTTACGTCTAAGTGAGATATATAGAGGATATTGAATGAGTGTAAGTTCAATACTGAATTTATTGCACGAGTTGAATAAAATTATATCATGCTCGCCAGAGGCTCGCATAATATTATTTTATTCAACGAGTTCAATAAATTCAGTATTGAACTTATACGAATTTAATATTCTTTTTATTACATACCAAAAATAAAGACCGTTTAAAGTGAAAAAGAGTCATTTTTCATTGACGCGCCTAAAGTATAACGCTACTATTAAGCGCGTCTTTACACTATGTTTTGTATAACGCTAATGACGTCATGTCAAAATATATGCACGGCCGTGCAATACCATTTTTACGGAGTCGCAAAATCGGCACGGGTGTGTGATAAAAACCATTCAGTACAATAAGATAATAAGATAATTTAAAAAAAACCCAACAATTGTTGGTTGTATTCATTGAAACGCGTGAGAATCAAGTACGTAAAGAAGTACGTCAGACGTTAACTGCTACGCGAACATTGAGTGAGTTCACGTTTATCGTCATCTTTGCTGCGTAACTTTTAAACAAGTATTTTTAAGTGTTTCTATTGGAATCGAGATATATATTTTCCATATTTCACGGAAAACGAAAAAAAAAACCCAACAAAAAACAACATTTTTTTTGACGTGATGTCGATTGCATTATACAATAATACTGTAAAGACGTACTACTACATGTGCGTTAATGAAAACGTGGTTCTTTTTTACCGTATATTAGTGTTTTTACCATTATGGATATCTTTATCGATGGAAGAAAAGAATAATTTTTAATGAACATGGACTCCAAATTGGATTTTTAAAATGTTCATATATATGTTTATTTTTTTTGGTCTGGTATTATGTAAAATTGGACATGTTTCAATAGTTTTAATATCAGCCGATTAAAAAGACAATAAATGATCAGGCAAAAACCTACTGTAATATGTGGTTCAATTCCAGAGCATTCCTGTAATAACTATCACATAAATAAGCGGACACAACATAAGTTGATTTTGGGTAATAAGTTTAAAGTGAACACATTCTGTTTATATGAGGAACTCCGCCTTTAGGTCATCAGAACATGAACAAATACAGGTTATATTTCATTCATATATTAGAATTAAATACAAATTAAGTGCAAGGGACAGGTTGGTAATATCTTTTCAAATAATGCTTTTTGGGACTTACAAAATTGATAAAATATCTGATTTTTTGTGTATAATTTATTCTTTACATTTTTACGGCACGTCATGTTATGCATGTTACATTATTAGGCCTACATTAGTATAATATTTTTTTATCAAATTTGTGTGCCGTGAAAAATAAACAAACAATCAGATACTTTGTTCGTTATCCATAGAGCTATCTTCTTGGCGACATAACTCTATCCTTCACGACAGAGCTGGGAGGTAATTAGAATTTATTTCATATAAAGCCAACTTTTTCAATAAGAAATAAATTCATACATTTTAATGATTACATGTAATGTGAACACATAGTTGCAGTACATATTTTACATATTTTTCGATGTCTGAAAATTGTTTTAGAAGCATAATTATATACATATATAAAATTTCACTGAAGTCAAGTAACTACAAAATACAGAATCTTTAAGAGTTACCTTTAAAATCATAATTTCTGAGCAATATTGAAACAGATTTACAACAATACTGTTAAGAAAACGTTAAAGAAACTGTATAATGCTTGGTTTTAAGGTCGACGGCAAAATATTTTTACATATTTATAAATTGCAGCTTAAATTAATCCGATCAGGGTTTTATGGAACTGAGGTAAACAGTTATTTAAGTGACTTGACTCGATAAAATTTATTACGAACATATGCAAAATGGGTAGTTTTAGCGTAGAAAATATTATAATAAGAAACACATCTATAGACCTAAAAGGTCACCTGAGTGCAGATTATTAATGTTTTCTTTTTTGCGCAAATAATTTTAATTCATTTTTAAAAACATCAAAATCACATAAATATTTTAGTTTCAATACATTGTCTTTATATAATATTACGCATGATAATATATTGTTCAACTTATATCCTCTCCCTTGGGTGGCCTTAACCCTAAAAACAAAGGTGTCATGCATTCCACAAAAACTAACTTCTTTTTAATTATTATACATGTATCTAGGTGATTAATACCCCCTCCAGCAACCTTGACTTTTTGGAAATTTAAGTGGCCTGAAGCAAAATATTAATTCAACTTATAATTCATAAAGCTTTAACTGTGTACAAATAATTCTTAACTAATTATATCCTCCAAGAACTCTTAACTAAAGTTATCCTTCAAGAAACCATTTTTCTATTTTAGTAACAGTGACCCTTGATCCCAGGGGGTATAAAAGCAAACCGACCCGGGGGGGGGGTCTGCATATAAGCTTGCTAAATACAAGTTTGATTACTATATCTCATGTAATTATAGTCCGGAAAACTATTTTTTCTATTTTAAGTAACGGTGACCTACACCAAATGGGGTCCAAAGGCAAAAAGAACAACAAAAAAAAACAACAACAACAACATCATCAGCAAAACATTGGTCTTCATATTAGCTTACTATATACAGAGTTTGATTACAGTATCTCATTCTTAACTCTAGTTATTGTCTAAAAACCATTTTTCTTTTTTTAATAACAGTGACTTTGACCCAATGGGGTCCGAATGCAATACCAAGCAAGCTTGCTTGATACCAAGTATTATTTACAATATATCATTTTTAACTATATTTATTGTCCAGGAACCATTTATCTATTTTAGTAATGGTGACCTTGACCTCTTGGGGTACAAATGCAATACCAGCCAAGGTCTTCATAGTATAAGCTTGCAATATACTTCGTTTGCGGGAGTATAATTATGCAAACGGCTTAACTGCCTCATTACAATGTAGTAATAAAAATATATTTACTATATACGACCAAGTAAGCCCCACCCTGGGACCTGCCCACATCCCAGGGGCTATAGATTTCATCATAACTATGTATTTAATTATTTACTTTATACCCAGGAGCAGAGGAGAAGATTTTCAAAAAATTATGTATTTTCACTACATAAGTATTAGAGCCCCCCTTAAAAACAACAACAACAGAATCCCTGACCCTGGGGCCATGAAATTTTGGAACATCCGATCTCATCATTACTATGCATTTCCTTTGTTTCCTAAAAAGGGGGGGGGGAGGATATTTTTATACTTTCACTTTATATTCAACAGAGCCCGCCCTAGCACCTGAACCACTGACCCAGGGGCCATGAATTTCACAATTTTGCTTATTATAATCATGCCAACAGTTTGACTGCTTGATGCCCAGGAGTAAAGAAGAAGACTTTTAAAGATTGCATTAATTTTTAGATTTTAGCCTCACCCCTCAGGCCCCAGGGGTCAGAGACCATAATATTCACAACTTTTCTCCTTCACCTACAAATGCTTTATGCCAAAATTGGTTAGAATTGATTCAGTATAATGGGTTAGTAAGAACAAAGGAAAAGTTCCAAACCATGCGATAATGAAATGCAGCAGCACAACAACAATTTATAATTGACAGGGTGTTTTCCACAGGTGTTCATTACCGTTACAGAAAGTCAATTACACTTCTCGAACAGAATACATAAAATGGCGTAATGAAGAAAAGGAAACATATCGCGCAGGCCTGATAAGCAATCTGTTAAACTTTGATAATTTGTTAGACGAGTCGGGAGAGGATCAAGCTTCCGTAAACAGTATGGTGAACTCTTTTACAAACATTATACGTAACATTGCAGACCCTCTTTTTCGGAGAACCGTTTATACAGGACAACAGTTTGTGAATAATAGCAAAGACGACAGTTCTAAATGGTTCGATAATGATTGAAAAATTGCAAAAATAACATATAAAAACGCATTATACCAGTTTAATAGAACACACAGTAAAGAAAATAGAATAGAGTTATGTCGATGTAAGAAAATATATAAATCAAAGCACAAAAGGCGCTGAATTTGTTTGTGTCTCAGAATGTCAGAAATGTGAAGGTTGTGAGATTATAAAACAATTTGTTTTTGTATAGTGCCACTGCCACCAATGCTTTCAAGCGTTTTAATTGTAGTAGATTGGCTATAAGACTAATTGCAACACTGATATTCAATCCAATGTTTATTTGACTTAAACAATTTGAAAAAAAATGAGTTGCCTCAACTGGGATTTGAACTCCAGACCTCTCGCTTCCTAAGCGAGCGCGCAAACCCCTCGGTCACGGTGTATTGATATCTCAACGGTCTGAAGAAAACCATATTATTCTAAATTAGGGTTTGTAACGACGCTAGCAGTTGTTTAACTCATGGCGCTTACTATAAGCATGTATATCTATAAAGAATAACACAATATTAGAAATCTTCGACCATTCGGGAATTATTTTGCTTGAAAATTAATGCGCCTGTCATGTGACCATATTTACGCAGTGATCTCCCCTGAATTTTTCGGCCTTAGTGTTACATATAAAGGGAATTAACCGCTTCAAAAAAGCGGACTACTTTCGGCATTTGCAATTAACAGCATTAGAGTGTGAAATTTC